TACTTTAAGTTTTTTTTTTTTTGACTTGAATTTGTATTTTTATTTCTGAATTTATTAACATTTCTGTGGTTCGTAACTATTGAAGCTAAAAACGCCTCAAAGTTTATTCCATTACTCTTTGTGATTTGACCCGGTTAGTTAAACCGATCCGAATTAGACAAATACAGTTGAACGGTTAAGAATAAGAGTCAACTGATCAACGGCTGATGATTTCGAATCTTAAAATGAATTACCGGTAAGTAATATTAGGTGGTAATGGAATCTTGCGTGGTGATGCAAATAAACTATATGAATAACTTTCAATAACTGTATTAAGTAATAGTATTTTCTTAATTATTTTGTTTCACAAACGTTCTCAAACAAAATATATAAACACAAAAAAAATATTTCTATATTTCAAAAAAAATTTTTTCATAGTGCATTTATTTTAAAAATTTGCATATATATTTTAAGATGCAGTTTCAAAAAAATTCCAATGTACAATAATTTACACGCCCTAGAAAAGGCTTTAAATAGTGACTATACAATAAATCTCTTCTAAACGTAAATTTTGATTTTCTATTATTCATTTTGTTCTTCTCTATCTACCTCCCAATCACCAAAACTGTCTTTACGATTTAACCGACTTTTTAACCATCGAAAACTTAGAAAAACCTTAAGGAAACGCCAATATGCTTTAAAAGCCTCTATTGAAGTACCAAACACGACAAAGATTACTATACCTAATAATGCAACAACATATTCCAAATATGTAGGGTTGATAAGATCATATTCTATCTCTCTAATACTTAGATATAAATTTCGACCATAACTCAAGATAGTAATAGCACAGTACAAAAAAGCAAAAAGAATCAAACGTAATAGTACATATATTGGTATCGATGATGTAGAACGTGTTGAACCCGATGTCCCTATATCATACGGATTACTTGAAAATCGAAGATTTGATGAAGCTATACTTGCAGGGGTATTTAGACCGTGATCAAATTCTTGTATCCCAGTATCTGTTTGATGTTGAGGTGTCTTATCGGACTCTCTGTGAGTATAGAAAAGCGCGATAACCTCAATTGCCGTTCTCACTTTTTTTTTTTTTTTTTTTTTTGCCATAGAAATAAATGTCTTTATGATTCAGGAGAAAAAAAAAAACTCAGATCAGATATTATTTGTTAGATCAATAATAAGAACCTACTTGAAAAGTAAATTCCAAAAAGACTCGTTAAAGTATTCCAACCATCAACGCTGACCAATGCCAAAGGTATTGATGGTTTGTAAAACATACAAAAATATGGTCCTGGTGTCTTAATTCAGCAATAAAAAAAAATTTTTAAATATTGTAAATTAAAAAGTTTAAATATGAATAATATATGAAATTAATATAGAATAACTCACAATCCCATCAGGTCTTTCAGCAATCAAAAATGGGGGAATAACTCCAATCAATAAAGGAAAAATAACACATATTGTAATGTAGTATTTCCTCCGTTTCCATTCACCATCTGTCATATGACATACAATACTTCTATATATTTCAT